TTTTCTGTTTCAGATCTGGTGTAGCTGGAAAAGATGTCTTAATGGTACCGATAGTTGCCAGTATTCTCAATACCATGATCTTGTTTGGAGATGATTCTCCGGGAACCATTAGAACCATAAGAAATATTACATAGCACAATCCAGTCTGTGTACCATATCTTCTACCTTTTTAAAGCTTATTGCAAGAATCCTATACTAAAGGAATGGAATTATCACCTCCTGATAAACCAATTAAGATTAGGTTGCGATGGTAATTAATACATGTAACTTGGGTTGGACGTGTTGCATAATCGCAGTTCTCCCAAGTTTGGATTGTAGACATTTGCTGTCCCAAGTAGGTAACATCATCAATGGACTAGTTTTGAAGTATGGTCGTGCGATGCTACTACAAGAGTAGTGGGAGGATATTCTTTTTCTGTCCTCATTAGGTTGCTCGCTTGGGAGTCTTAGGTAGAGATAGGAGAGGTCTTTTGTTGTGTGGTGGTTGAGTGAGAGGAATAGTCTTGTTGTGACTTGAAGTGATGCACTAGTGCTGGGCATTTGTTTATATCTTTTCACAGGTCCCTAGATAAGCAGTATGGGGGGGGGGGTCAGTGGTTAAGATGCTGGGCTTGTCACCTGGAAAGCTGCCAACCCAGGTTTGAGACCCAAGTGAGCACTGCCCTCTCTAGTCAGCAACGACTAGTGGAGTAAAATCTGCAGGGCCTCCTTTACCTTTTTTTTTTTTTTTTTTACCTTTTATAGGTTCCTAGACAGAGCTCTTCTATTGTAACCCTAGATAGGGTTTATCTCTGTTGATGGCAGCTTGGTGGGAATGCTATACTTTCAGCAATTTGGCTTTTTCCCATGTGTCTTACTCTTAAGATTTTCATTTTAAAAAAAATGGAAAATGGTTATAAGTCAGTATGCAGGTAGTCCTCAATTTACAACTATTTGTTTAGTGACCATTCGAAGTTAACAACAGCACTGAAGAAACTGACTTACGACTGTTTTTCCACACTTAGGAGCCTTGCAGCATCCCCATGGTCACAGGAGCAAACCTTGGGCACTTGGCAACTGGCATGTATTTATGACGGTTGCAGTGTCCCAAGGTCATGTGATCCCCTTTTGCCACCCTCTGACATGTAAAGTCAAGATTCATTTAACAACCTGATTACTCAATAAACAACTGTGGCAAGGAAAGTCAGATAATGGGGCAAAACTCACTTTACAGCTGTCTTGATTAGCAGTGGAAAATTTGGATTCAATTGCGATCACAAGTCAAGGACTACCTGTAGTTACTTTATAGGTATAGAGCCTGTTTGGTCTAATGGTTAAGGTACCAGATTAGAAACCAGGAGATTGTGAGTTCTAGTGCTATTTTAGACATGAAAGCTAGCTGTGTGACTTTGGGGCAGTCATTCTCAGCCCAACCTCCCTCCCTGAGGGTTGTTGTGGGGAAAAATAGGAGGAGGAAGAGATATTAGGTATGTTCATTGCCTTGAGTTATTTATAGGATAATAATGGCAAGAAATAAAGAAGTAATAAAAAATCTAAATAATTAGAATAGAACAGTGATGGCAAACCTTTTAGAGACCGAGTGCCCAAAAACCGCTCTGCCCTGCCCCACCTCTCCTGCCCACAGGGCCACCCACCACCTCCACGGCCCGCCACAGCAGATTGCCCAGGCAGCCCAGCAGCGTCATGGTGGCCACACCCTCTGTCTGCGTTCCACAGCATCATCTGTACGCAATGGGGCACGAGGGCGGAGTCTTGTCCCTGCTGCCCGGCTGCCATGTCCTTGGCTGCGCTGCTCTGCGCAGGCTGCACCCAGGGCGACTCTCCTCCAGAGGGGCTGCTGGTGAGGGGGCCATGGGGGGTGGCGGGGCTGGGGCGATGGCGTGCGTGCATACAGAGAGGGCTCTGAGTGCCGCCTCTGGCACCCGTGCCATAGGTTCGCCACCACTGGAATAGAACGTTAATGTATTCCAAGATGTCTCTTTATGTTTTTTTAAGAATCTTGGATTTTCTCTTTTCAAACTTTGCTGTAGAAATAGTATGTGTGCATGTTCTCAAAACCTATTAAATATGTTCAGGTATTTAAAGACCCCACAAGCGCATTTTCAAGCACAAAATTACATCATTTCAAAAGCAGCAGGAGAACCAAAGAAAGGCAAAGGGCTAGGGGATTAGATTCATTTTATTAACTTTATGTGTTCTGCACCTGCAAAAATCCAAGGAACTGCTAGATGCAACAGAGAGTTAAGAATTTTCTGTAGCTCGCTGTTGCCATTTAGCACTTATCGGATGTTTGCAGCCCAGATCCAGCAGTCTTAGACTATATAATTAAAGTCTGAATGTAGAGAGCTTATGCAAGTGTTGCTGTTTATCTGTTTTCTAGCCTGATATTTGAAATCAGAGTTAATTGTAGCAATATGTTATTTTGAAAAATGCTTGTAAGATGTCTATTGCTGCAAGTCTCATTTGACTTAAGTGGGACAACCTTAACACTGTGCAAATGTGGTTCTGAAGAATCATGCACCCGTTCTAATAAATTTTCCAAGCTAATTTTGCTGACTTTTTCCTCCCTTTCTGTAAAGCTATGTCAAAATTGAACAGCCCTCTCCCAACAGAGGGGGGGGGGATACAACACCATCTATCTCTAATCGACAACACAGTCCTTTCAATAGTTCCAAGAAGTCTCCACACCCATTTGCACTTCTCAAATGACCCTGAGGACACAGATAAATCTCCAAGTGACCTCAATGACTCTCTAAAAGAATGCAAATGACCAGCTGTCTGCAAGGAGTACAAATCCTATTCTCCACCATCCAGTCAGAACTGAAGAAGCTTCTTGGATGAGAAGCAAAACGTCTTCAAAGAAAAATAAGAAAGTCCAGTTGCCTCTTGAAAAAGCACATTTGGGACACTTCTCCACATTTTGCTCCAACATATCTTACCCATACTTTGAACAGCATTGATACTTAATGTCTATCCAGGTTCAAAGGATAAAAGCCCAAGCAAAGCAGGTTCTTTATTGATGAATGTTTGATTTGATGTAAATTGCTTGACATATTTTGCTGATATTGTTTGATCTAGAGTGATTGCTTCATTTGTTTCTCAATTTCTGAAGAAATCAAAATTGTCTCTCCTGCCTTGTGGTAATTAATAATGGCATGGCTGAAAGTAGGGAGATGATGCGTAAATGGAAAGTAGGGAGATCCTGAGTAATGAGATCAAAAGCACTGATGATTACTTTTAAGCAACACATGACTGTAGCAACATTAAATTAAAAAGAAAAACTTGAAATATTTTCTTGACACACTACTGCAACCTCTCATTTTGCAATGGGATATTTTATCCAATCTTAGCTTGCACTGGGTCAGCATTTGTTTGAAACATACAGAATAACAAAATACAAAGTGTTCCAGAGCATGTCTTTCAGAATATACTTGGTTTACCATTTGTGTTCTCCTGGTATAAGTAAGAATAAATTTTTAATACAAAAGAGTTCTATCTGGACAAAGTCAAATTCACATACTTTTTTTCCTCTCAAAAAAATTAAACATATAGTTGTTTGTATACACCAGAGGGCGCTTTTACACAAATCTTTGAAATCATGATACTCTACTTTTAATTACTATTACTTTTAATAGTAATCATAAAGAAATCATCCAATGTAAATAAATGGAACTTTTGCCATTCATAAATAAGCAATAACAAAATATCAAAACACATGACAGTGAGCCACAACAACAATGGATTGTGAATACTTGAAGTGTTTCAGTTCATAAAATAAATACTTTCTGTACCAAATGTTTTGCAGAATGTCTCCTGCTGTAATATCAGTAAATCTAAAACAACCAGATCTCTGCTTCAGAAATTAGAAATTCTAATCCTTTGCTACTCTTTAATGGTCATTCAGATTTTTGCACACCACATCTGGTAGCCCTAGAAAACTGCCATATAGGTCTGGAAAACAGAATTAAATTCTCTTTTTAATTAAAAAAAATCTGATTTTTAAAATTAAAATAATAGGGCTTTTTTCAAACTAAAGACAAGCACTAAAAAATAAAAGAACACCAAATCATAAAAAAATAAAAGAATCTTAAGAGAATAAAATTTGAGAGATGGGTTCCTTTTTTCTCTCTCTCTTTCTCTCTCTCTCTCATACACACACACACACACACGCACACACACGACACAGAAGGAGAGAGGAGAGAGAGAGAGAGAGAGAGAGAAACAGAGACAGAGAGGAATACATAGATGATTCTTGAAAAATACAAGCGTTTAATAGAGGTTTTCTGAGGGAATTAAGGATGGAATCACAACAGTACCATAGTTTGTAACATGTTTGCTTCTTGTATTATAGTGTATTGGGGCAAATTAATTGGCATTGTTATTAAAATACCACCAAAACTGTGATCAAGAAGGAAAATTGAAGGCATTGAAGGCATTGCTGCAAAAGAGTGCAAAACTGATACACACCAGAGGCAAGAATATTTCTTGTGCAGAGTTGGGAAAAAACAAAGACTGAATTATAGCTCCAGACTTTCTTAACAATTTCAGTGCTAGCTGGTAACTTGTGGTCTGGCTGGGGATAGTTCAGATACTTTCTCAAGTCTCCTTTACATTTATCTCAGCTCTAAAATGTAGACCGGATTAAGAAACAAAAGCCATATTGGTTTAAAACTCCTTTTATTGGAAGAGCTAGAGCACAGGTGTCAAACTCGCGACGTCATATGACATGTCGCGACATATCGTGACTTTTTTTCCATTGCCGGGCAATGGGGGGTCGAGGTTTTGACATGACGCATCCAGCCCACAGGTCGGCAGTTTGACACCCCTGAGCTAGAGGAACAGAAGCTTTCAACTCTGAATGTGCTCCCATTCCCCCCCCCACTTTAATCTTTGTGTGAATTCGGAAGGGCCTGTCTGAAGTATTTTCTTAAGTTTGTCTCTTGGAAGGAGCTCAAGTCTGATTGTTGCCTTGGTAACAAATCTTCCCTCTGTCCTTTAAGGCTATTCTCTATGCCCTCTACATCTTGGCTCTACAACCTGGCAACCAAGGACAGCAATCTACCAGACTGGGATCAGAAGCCTCCTTAGAAAAGCCAAACGCAAGCAGCAGCTGCAGCAGAGTGGGTTTTTTGTTTGTTTGTTTTTTTCATTTTCCAAAGGGAAAGGATGCTTGCTTTCTTGTGAAAAAAGAACAAAGGTATGCAGGGCTGGGAGATAATTTCCTGTGAGACTGAGGGCCAGAAGGATGGCAAGGAACATTCTGGTGAATAGGATCTTTGTAACTAATTATATGCCTCATGGCAACTGTTTGGTGGATGGGAAAACTCATCTATGCTCCCCATCAACTTTCTGTAAAAATACTTGCAACATATTTTCAAAGGGCCACCAGGCCCCAAAAGGTTGAGAGCCTTCTGGCAAACTCCCCCTTTCCTCCTGAATATTGGTGTGCTGAATTTCTTTTGTCTTCATTCTTGTCTTTTTTGCTGTTGTCTTCATTATTATAGTTGGTCTGATTCCAATGGGTAGTATTGTAATCAAACAAACTTGACGATGAACAGGCACAAAAACAGCTAGGGAAGTGATTGAAGCCTGGGAAATAGGCCCTTCATCATCCAACAGGGATGATGATTTACCACCAGCTTATGAAATACTTAGAAGACGACGGCTGGGCAGCACAAGCAAATGACAGCTAACAGAAAAGCCTGCCATAAATACACCAATCAGCATCTAAAGAGCCATATACAACAGGTGCTATTTAAATACCATACACAGAACAGTCCAAAGCACACACTCTAGAGAGAAGTTCTCTAAGGCAGGGCTTTTCAACCAGTGGTACAGGTACCACCTGTGGTACATTGGCACCTGGCAGGTGGTACGCGACCATCCTAGAAAAGTGGTAGCGGGGGAGGGAAATGAGCTGAACTGGTGGCAGCACCGCACAAGCCTGAGCGAGAGATGGCTGGAGCTGCAGGGCTGTCAGGGCTCAGTGGAAGCACCAGGATCGGTGCTTCATCGGGACTGTCAGGGCTCAGTGGAAGCGCCAGGATCAGCACCAGGCTCCAGCTGGAGCTCGGCGCTGATCCTGGCACTTCTGCTGAGCCCAGAAGAAGCGCTGATCAGCTGGAATGTTGCAGCATCTCCAGGGTCTCGTGATTTACATTCAGATGCTTGACAACAACAATATTTATGACGGCCACAGTGTCCCAGGGTCATGTGAAGTGACCAAAATTGCTGCAACCACCCAGCAGATGGGGGGAATAAAAACCAAACACCCCTCACCCCACCTTCACTGCCAATCTTCAACAGAAATGCTCACAACAATGAAAATCTGAGAAAGGAGGAAGAAAGTGGCTGGGTGGGCATGCAGATGTCTTCCTCGGCTGTGGCTTGGGGGGCACTTTTTTCAGTGCCATTGTAACTTTGAAAAGTCACTAAGTGAACTGTTGTAAGTCGAGAACTACCAGAACTTTATCACTTTTTTCTTTTTTTTTTTTTTTTGTCATCAAGTTTTTGGCACCTTGCTAGGTGACTGGTGGTACTTGGATGTTGCCATATCCTAAAAGTGGTACAATGGGTGAAAAGGTTGAAAAGCCCTGCTCTAAGGATGGGCTCCAGCATGAGTCTGAAAGTTTGGAAGACCTTTGGTCCCAGGGACTGATCCAGATTGGAGCCTACAACATTATCCTGGGACACGTATATATTTGCCTTCATTCACAAACAACTGTTTTTAAAAAGCTGCTTTGGGAGGCCTTGGTCCATTTGTTTTCATGCTCTTCTAGTTGTGACTCAGCAGACATTTATAGCCACATAAGATTTTTTTTAAAAAAAGCAAAAAAAGGAATATGTGCAGATGTACCTTATTCCAAAGTCTTGATCCTTACATGTTTTGAGGATTTTTCCTCAATTGTGTTAGAGTAGAGACTATGGAATGAAGAATACATGTAGCACATTTCTTCCATTTTTCTTCTTTTTTGGGACTAGAATCTCTGTTTCCATTGGCCTCATAAGAACAATCATCAATTTCAAGGGGCTTCAGATGCTCTAAACATCATCTGCATATTTTGCTATGAACCGGAATGAAAAACCTGTATTTTGTTTTGTGTTTTTCATTTCCTACCAACTTCCTGAATTACTGCTTTAAGCAGAGTCATGGTGGTGGTCTATTTCTGAAACACCCACCCTGTAGCTCCCTTGGTTACCTCTCTTACCCAGCTGCCATGTATCTTGGGATCTGGTGCTGATGTCTTCTGCCTAGTTTATAGGAGATGTCAAATTTCTCTAAAGTTTACTGTCTCTTAAAATATTGGAACCTGAGTTCATGTTCCTAAGTGATTATGCCCACAGTCACTAACTTTCTGATGCTGAGGGTAAAATTGCTTGATTGTGTAAACCAATTACATACAGAGGCACAATCCTATTGGGCCTTACTCAAGGAAAACAGCAGTACGTATGTGAAGTGTGTTAGAGGAATTGGCAGGACATGTGCTAATGGCAGCAGTACCCAGGCCACTATATTCCACATCTGAAATCTCATTCCATCCAGCAGGTATCCTGTTGTCAGAAAACTGTAAAAGTGGAATGTTTTAATATTTTACTAGATAACCAGTGGCCTGTTGAGATATTTCATTACAAAATACCCATGTACTCCTGTGCACCCATCCTGACCCTTGCTGTGTCTCTCTCATACCCTCACACACACCTTCATATTCATTCCAATCAACACTGCACATCATGTAACCTCCCCAACCAGCAGGGCATTTCTTACACAGCCCCCACCCACACCAGTGGGGAGGCCACACAGTAGTGTGACATGGTTTAGAGAGGACACTTGGAGGTGTGCGAGAGACGCTACATGGGTTGGGGTTGGTATGCAGAGGTGCAGCATGGCTGTGAAAGGTGTGTGGGGTGTGCACAGTAGTATGTGAAACATGCCATATGGGTCAGAAAGGATGCAAGAATGTCTGATGCAGTTCTAGTGCCAGGGGGATGGAGAGATTGTGCAGGTGTGGGAGTCTTTGCTTGTGGGAAACTGGCAAAGAATGCCTGCAAACACAATCAAGCTTACACTTCTTGTTGGCTTCCACGGTGACTTGTCAGGGAGCATTGAAAATGATGATCACATGATTGTTGCTGACTATAGTAGCATGGTGAGCTGAAGCAATAGCAGTACGGTGTTACTGACGCAGCCACAACTTCCCCAAATTTCATTTCCACAGGAGTAATGGCTTTTTATAAGTTAGCCCATTTGAGGTTCAAAAAGTGTTCCTTTATGATGCACCATTTTGCCCAACTGAAGATTATAAATAGGAAAACAGACATGAGAGTTTTAGTAACTGATAGATTAAGGGCTGTCTTATCTGGGCTGCAAAAGTGCAAAAAAACTATTAGAATGGATATATCATACTTAACTAGAAAACAAATTCATTTGGACTCTTTTGGGAAGATAAATCAAGTTTGGAGAATGGATTTATTATATTTAATCAGGCAACAATTGATAAGAGATGGTATTAAGAAGCAAACATGGATATTTGATCCAGAACAAATCAGGATAATCTGTTGGGACAATTTGGGATAGATAAAAAAACCGTGGTAAACTTTCTATGAGTTGATTACAATAGCAGTTTGTTAACAGAAGGTTTTGAAATTTCAATCTTGCTTTGTTTATTATTGTTCTACCTGTAAACTATTTTGTCATTAATATAGTACAGTGATGGCAAACCTTTTAGAGACCGAGTGTCCAAACTGCAACCCCAAACCCACTTATACATCGTTGGGTGCTGGATGGGCGTGGCCCATTGGGTGGGTGTGACCCATTGGGTGGGTGTGGCTGCGGTGGTAACAGCAGACTGGGTGGGACTAAAAAGTTCAATCAATCAATTCCAACTTTGCAAGATCTTTTTTTTCCCACGAGAAGTTGAAATTGACTGATTGATTGAACCTTTTTTTTTGTACACAGTGGCGGAGGCCTAAAGCAAAAAGGTTTTATAAAACCCAGCTGAAGGCCTAGGATTGGGGCGACGGCACACGTGCCCACAGAAAGGGTTCTGGGTGCCGCCTCTGGCACTCGTGCCATAGGTTCGCCACCACTGATATAGTAGATAGATGACAGGTTAATAACTTGCAAATAGAAGTAATAGTTTAAAAAACACCTGTTTTGCAAGGGTGTGTGAAATTCATATCATTGTAATATATTTATCAATATTCAACTAGGAGGGATGAGCTGTGTGGTGACCTAGAGGTGAAGATGCTCGCCTCCCATTTGGAAGGTTGAGAATGTTCAATCCTAGGCAGCGACAGATGTTTCTCTATCAGGGCACAAAGAGAAAATATCTGCTGCAAACTCCACGTAGGCATCAGGAAGGGCATCCGGCCAATAAACACTCAGCTCCATTCAGTTGCCCAAATAAAGGGAATAAAAGGTTGTAAAAAAAGTTCAACAGGGGGGATAATATGTACCCCGAAAATAAGCCCTAGTTTTGGGGCGAGGTGCATGCCTAAAAATCAAGCTAGGGTGGGGCAGTGGAGCTACTCCACATTCCCCACACCCACTTACCCTTGCAGCCAGGCCTCCCATGCCCCACACCTGCCTCACCTCACCGACCCACTTCTTCTGCAGCTGCTTGCTGCTGCTCATGCGTGCAGATCACCCCCAGGCTCATTTCGTCATTTCTACAGCTGAGAACCGAGCTCCAGATTGACACGCATGGTGGAAGCCAGGGGGCACTGTGTGCGTCAACCTAGAGCTCGATTCTTGGCTGAAGAGGCCTTTCCTGAAGGTCTCTGATGGTGAAATGGAGCCCGGGGATGATGCACATGTCAGTCCGGAGCTCGGTTCTCAGCTGCAGAGGCCTTTCCTGAAGACCCTGACAATGAAATGGAGGCTGGGGGTGACACGTGCATGCTAGCGGTGGTAAGCAGTCACAGAAGAACTGGGCAAGTTGGGTGGGACTGTCAGTGCCACTGCCATAAGGTGAGACTGTGGAAAAGACATCCCCAGAAAATAAGACCTTTTAGAGGCAAATAATAATAATAAGACTGAGGCTTATTTTGGGGGAAACATGGTATGTATAAGTTAGTGCTTTTTTAATGTATCTTTTTAATGTCTTGCTTCTTTTGTGATTTTTTTTGGCTTATTTCTGTTAATTTTGGGGGGGGAGTTTTGTATTTTAATTTTTTTTAATAAAATAAAAATAAAATTAAAAAACTATTAGATAGCCAGAAAGAAGTTTTATAATTTTATAATTCCTGTCCTGCTATTCAACAATCATCTGTATTCTGTAGCCCAAATATGGCAGCATTTATTTTCCAAAGCCCCCACAAGGGATGTGTCTCTATCAACAAGTGTCAGTTTTGGATGTCGAACGGTTGTTTCTAGAAGCATATAGTTGGCCTTTGTTGAATAGGAAAACCCGGTCTGAACTTTTTGTGCACTTCCAGTAATTCAACTAATATAGAAGCATTTCACATTCTCCATAAGTAAGTTTGAAACACAGATATCATATAGAAAAACAAAACTTTATTCCAGACTTGATGGGAGAAGAACTTTTGAGAGGAAGTTTCTTTTTTTTATCTCAATTTAAGACACCCCTCCATTCTTAGCTACCAAAAAATATTTTAAGATGTCTATAGCTCCTCTGCATATTGAGAACTAATTTGGTTAGTTAGATCTGTGTCCGAAACATATTTTTATATTTAATTAAAACTTGCTTTCCTTAGCTGAATAAATATAGTTTATATATGCTGATCTGATTATATAATCAGGCTATAGTCTACTAATTGTTACACACAATTATATTTGCTGTCTGAAATTCTACAGAAGCTTCCTCCAATTTTCTGTCTTCCAGACCTGTTGGACTTCAATCCCAGAATCCCACAGTCACATGTTCAACACATCTGGAAGATCCCAGGAGGTTGAAAGTTTTTTTT